TGGGCCCCACTCCCATGGAGCCACTTCCTCAAGCAAGGCTCCATCTCTTAATGTTTCTATAACCTTATAAAACAGCTACCAGCTGGGACTAAGTATTCAAACACATGAGGCTAGTGGAGAGATTCTAAATACAAGCCACAACAGATGACTGTGGGAAGATGGATTGGGGGTGCCTTTATGGAAGAACCCCCTCAGGTCTGAAGATGGGCCTTCTCGTACCTCACTGAAGCAAGATCTCTAGGGTGGATTTAACCTAGGTTTGGCTCCTGAAATAGAGCTAGGGAGAGAGTTCTGCCAGTAAAGTGCTTGCCTTACAATCTTGAGGACTTGATATCCCTTCCCAAAATTCAAATGTCTCCAGGAGGCAAAGACAGGAGGATCCCTAATGCTTCCTGACCACCCAGCTAGCCTTCTTGGCAAATTCCAGCATAACTTTCTTTGCAACTTCTAAAGTAATGAGAGACTTTATCTCAAATAACAGGAAAGACAGCACCCAGAAATGACACCCAAAGTTGTCCCCTGACTTCACACAGAGAGGCACACAAACACTTAACACACATACACACACACACACACACACACACACACACACACACACACAAATGCGCACGCATGCATAGTCAAAGGCATTCTGGCCACAGTACTGGGATACCAGATCTGGTGATTAATATCTTTACATGAGGAGTGTCAGGTCTGGCTAGAGTTCTGGGATTTGTCTTTCTTCTTTTATCTCTGAGAGCTCTGAAACAATGTTGAGGCTGCCGACAAACATAATGGCCCAGCAATCTTCATATCAGCATCTGTGCAGACAGTAGCTCTAGAGCTGTGCAGGGCACAAACTGGATAACTGTCTTTGACACCACAGAGAGAGAGGCCACACTCCATAGAACACCATAGCAAACCAAGAGCTTTTGTTCTCAGTGTCTTCTTATAACGTGGACATTCAATGGGGATCAAAATTCCCAGGTGTTTCCTAAGATGCTGACATCCATGGTGAGATTGCAGTTGAAAAATACCTGCTATGCATGAGACCCTGTCTCAAAAGAAACAACCTACTTATTAATAAGCAGACTTTTCTATATTGAAATGTCCATTAACATTATACATTAGATAGTGTTTCTCCTTTTCGCTTGTACAGGAAAGGTGGTTAATTGGGAAGAACTTACTAACTGATGTGATTTGAGCTTGGGCCTTAATGAAACACAGTCTCTTGCTCTTAAATATCTACACTATGGTGGGTTGTGAACTTTTGAAGCACTGCCCATTCCTTTACTCCATTTCCCAACAGGCCTAGGCTTCAGAGGAGCCCACATGGTCTTCCACATGGATGGGACTTTGCAAGTCATATCACCCAGGCCTCTATCCCCTACCCAACTTCCTCCTTCAGCTGACTTGACTCCAGCAGCAAGGATTTCATCCATTCCTGTTTTAGCCATTTGAGCAGATTGTAGCCTGGAGGGAAGTTAACTTATCCATTGCATCAGTTCTACTAGTCCTTTCTTCAGGGTCTCAGACAATATTGAGGAATCTTTTGAGCACTATGTAGACAGCCAGATGATCTCTGTAAACTTCCTGAGACAGGGAGTAAATGTTCACTCGATGCTTAAGAGTCAGTCCTGGGCTGCTACTACCTAGCATCCTAAAAAATGGCCCTGTAGTGTATGTGGTTTGGTCGTCCAGTTGTTTATGAAGACAGCACAATCTGGCCCTATCCCTCATGCTTTCTAGGAACAGAAGTCTCCTTGCACTGTTTTAATCCCTATGTTTCCTTGTCATTCTGCCCATGGGTTGACTAGCAAGTGAATTTTTTGAGAAGCATAGATCGAATTTGGAGGTCCTACATAGGACATGTCATCTTGCATTGGAATGACCACACGAGGAGCTTAAATTCAACCCATGTTGCTGAAGTGATGTCACAGCATCTCAGGAGGGAAACACTTTCACACATCTTCATGTCCCAGTTTTCAGTCAGTTGATGAAGATGCTGTATTAGTTTAATTTCTGTTGCTGTGTTAAATACCCCAACCAAAGCAACTTTTTTGTTTGTTTGGTTTTGTTTTTTTGTTTGTTTGTTTTTTTGTTTTTGAGACAGGGTTTCTCTGTGGCTTTGGAGGCTGTCCTGGAACTAGCTCTTGTAGACCAGGCTGGTCTCGAACTCACAGAGATCCGCCTGCCTCTGCCTCCCAAGTGCTGGGATTAAAGGCGTGCGCCACCACCGCCCGGCTCAACCAAAGCAACTTTAGGAGAAGGAATTTACTTAGGCTCACAGTTATATAAGGTATAGATAGTCCATCTTAGTGGGAACAGCATGATAGCAGGACATGAGGCTGGACCCTCACATTGCATCAACAGTCCAGAAGAGAGAGAAAACAGGAAGTGGGATCAGTCTATAAAATTTCAAAGCTCACCCCCAGAGATAATCTTCCTTCAGCAAAGCTCTACTTCTGAAAGTTTTATAAACACATAAACTTCACCATCAACTGGGGGCCAATTATCCAAACATGTGAAACTATGCAGGATATTTCATATTCAAATAACAACAAATATTTAAATGACTGAACGTCAGTCAAACTGGTTTGAAGAGAAAGCCTGCACCCATCCAAAAAGAGGGGAGAATTGGCCACATTAAAACTACTTAGTTTCTTTGGGGATGTGTATGTGTCCCTCACAATATGGGTTCCTAGCAAGAGGTAGAGCAGAATGAGGTGGTGTCTTCCTCAACTGTCACAGTGCAGCAGTGTGCCCAGCAGTAAGAAGAACATGACTATCAGAGGAAGTAACATGAACACGATCTCAAAGAACATCCTCATGTCTGCTAACATTTCTCTGTCTTAAATGGTTTGCGTTCTCTGTGGTTCAGGTAGCATCCTGGGATTCCATATTAACCGAAACAGCCCAGAGCAGCCTCTATATCCAGTTCCATATATAGGGTATAGGGGGATCAAAGGGTCAAGGGGAACACAAAAGACTTACATTTGGGTGCTTTCCTGTGTCCCAACAAACTGAGCTTTTCATTCCACTTTTGCTGTTGTCGCCTCTCAAGTGAAAATGACAATCACTGTCCATCACGAGCTTTCCAGCTAAGAGAATCCAATGGACTGTGAATGAGATGCCCACTTATACATAACAGGGGACTCTTCTGTGGGACCAAAACAAAAAGATTTCTCATGTGTGCCCTATAGTACCCTTAAGGTCCATTGTCTCCTATGGTGCTGGGATAAATCCCTCAGGTCATAGATTTAACTCTTGTCACAAGGCAGTAAACCAGATGTGAACATTTTGTCAATCGTGCCACCAGATGTGATGCAGCCTGACACTAAACAAAACTTACGATTTTTTTAGGCTTCCTTAACTCAACAATTTCCAGACTCCAGAGCACAAAGCACTGAACTCTCTTCTGTGTCCCACCTACTCACATTTGGGAGTGAGTCAAGGGTAGCGGAACTATCCTATGCCCCACAATTCTATTGCAGTCCAGCCTTCTCCTGCTTTGGGTTACACTCCCCCCCCACCTTCTGCCATGCCACTTGTGAGCTCCTTGGATGTTCCAGTTAAACTTCCTCTTCAAATGAGATGCACTTCTCAACCCCACCCCCAACATACACTATTGACGTTTTGGGGCCACTGATGCTTCCTTGAGCAAGGCTGAACTCTAGGATGTGTTTGTCCACATCTCAGGATTTTATCCACTAGATGACAGGGACACCCTGCCTCCTAGCCATGAAAATGAAAACTGCCAACATTGCTAACTACCCACTGAGGGACACTATCTGAGTTGAGTGACCACAACTGTAAGTAAGACTATCCAATGATACTTCTGACAGCCAGATATAAAAAGCAAGCAGGGCTGTTTGGGGTTGTTTTGCCCCCACAATGCATCTACAGCTAAGCCCCCTTGCCTTGCCCCAGTCCCTGTGGTTGGTCTTAACATTGCTCACTTTTTTTTTTTTTTAACAGTCAGTCTCTTAAATTGCATGCACTGGGGTGTCTGAGACACTACACAGCAAACCTGTGGTGACAGGCCTATAAAGGGAGGGGAGAACACTTTTCTTCTCACACCATGGAACTCTCTGGAGTTCTAAACCTTAACAGCATGACACAAAACAGTCAAACACTTTCTTTTATTAATTGTCAGAACGAGAGGCACCAGGGCTTTCAAGTGAACTTGAAACTTCCCCAGAATGTATTTCCTCCTTCTGGGCCCCTGACAGAGCCACCCTCCAGAGACATCAATCTCCCCAGCTGGAAGGCTTTACTCAGTTCACTCCCATCCCCCTGGCTTCTGTCCACAAATCTGAAGAAATTTCCCACCAGATCTCACTTCAGTGGGCATGCTGCAGAATTTCAACCAGAACTTATGCAGCTCATGAATCATAGGAGACAATTTTAATGATTCTTAAGAGCAGCGAACTTAGCATACTTTTGTTTTGTAAAGGGCCAAGTAATATTTTAGGCTGTGAGGGTCAGAGGGCCTCTGTTGTAACTATTCAACTGCGCCAGTCTAGCCCCAAAGCAACCAAGGATAGGCATACAAATAAATGAGCGTGCTGTGTTTCAATAAACCTTTATTTGTAAAAAAGCAAGTTAGGGGCCAGGTTTAGACCACAATCCACACACATTTTGAATAAATTTGCTTTTGCTGTGGTAACCACCAACAGGAAACTGCAGCTCTTGTTTACAACCAACATGGAATACAACCTTCTCAGATAATATTTGCATTCTGAGTTCCCCAAAGCTAGACAGAAAGAGAGACTGGTTGCTGCCCCAGTGCTATTCCCTGTCCCAAAGACCTTGTCTGTCTGCTGCCAATCTTTTCAGGTTAATAAAGTAAAACTCTGTGCTTGGGTACAAAAGAGTACATGGTGTTGCTACAGCCAAAGAATGCCTCCTATGGAGGATGACATCACTTCTTTGCACTGTCCCCCAGGAAAATATGCAAGTCTTGTAAATGCAGCCAGGAGGAGCACTGCCTGAGCTCTGACCTGGAGGATGATCGGAAAATCGGGCGCCTGCTGATGGACTCCAAGTATGCCACCCTCACTGCCCGGGTAAAAGGTGGAGATGGCATCCGGATCTATAAGAGGAACCGTATGATCATGACAAACCCAATCGCCACCGGCAAAGACCCCACCTTTGACACCATAACCTATGAGTGGGCTCCTCCAGGAGTCACCCAGAAACTGGTAAGAATGGCTTCTTCCTGCCCTATTAAGTATGATCTGGTTCATGAATCCTGAAACTCAGCAATGAGGCAGAAATGGCTATAGTTTCAGCTCTGCTCCTGCATCAGGTAATGACATGAAAACAGTCTGGGCCTCAGTTTTTCTTATCCACTGAATGGAGAGAAGTGCTCATATGAACACTTGAGGGCTTTCTAATTCTATATAGGGGCATTCATTGTGCCTTTGGGGCTCCTCACTTCTGTACAGGGAAATGGCTTATCACAGTTTTCTGAATGCTCTTTTTTTCTCTGCAAAAGGTTCATTTTCATATGAAATGATCTGGAACCCTCAACAAGCCTATGGGAAAACAGAGGAGCAGTCTTTCCTCCTTAGACACTGCAGCCTCTTGATCTTAGCTGAATGAATCAATGAATAGATCTTAAGCTTTCATGAACTCCACCACACTGAAAGGGACAGATTACCTTACACAACAAGAAACAAAGAATGGCTTTTGTATGTGGTCCAGGTGAAGCAGGAGCTGATGGCTGGCCACAGAGGGTAGCATCAGAGCAGCGACAGAACCAGGATACGCCAGGGTATCCAGAAATCTGGTCTTCTCTTAGCTCCCAGGGTGTGCAAACCATCAGCTGGGGCTCACAAAGTCAGTGGAACACAATCCATCAAGTCATAAAGAGCTGGCTTGGGGTATTAAGAAGAGGCTGGTGAAAGCCCTGGATATGTTTCCCTTCTAATCAGGGGCAGCCATCAGAGGGTCTTGGTGAATGCTGCCTTGTAAAATTGCCTGACTATAAAGCCTTCCTGTCTGCCTCACAGCTGGCTGGTCTCAGTCCTGGCACTAGTCAACGCTCTCTTCTCATTCTCCCTCCCTTCTCTGTTTTCATTACCAAGTGGTCGAGCCTGATTGAATTTTGGAAGTGGGACAGAATCTAGCTGTCCATCATCCTTCCCTACCAGAATGAAAGCTAGAGAACTCTATCAGTCTTCCAAGCTGGTGCCCATCAGCCTGCCTGTGCCTGTGTACCAAGAGCTGCTGTGCACAGGTCACCAAACTAAGAGTATTTCACCCAGAGCCTTGTTTGATTTCCCAATGTGTTAGATATACACTGTTATTGCAATCAGGTACCTAAAGAGAAACTGGGGCTCAGAGGGGGGCTGCAACTAGTCAGATGCCCAGCTGATTTAGCTGATCTCAGACCCCCATACCCACTCCCATCAAAGCCTATATTCCTTCCACTTCAACCCCACCCCAGGCCATGTGGGGGAGGAGGCAAGCAGGAGAGTTAGCTTATTTGAAAGCGGGCTTCCAAGAAGGGAAATAAGCTTGAGTAGGCTTTGGCCACTAGGAAAAAGGGGGGGGGGTAGAAAGAAGATGGAGAGAACCAGCATCTACTTAGCAGTCTACACATGTCTTCTGAATGTCTGCCACTTCTGTCACAGCCACTCCGTGGCTGAATATGTCACAGCCCATTTTAAGGGGAGCACACCCAGGCTTGTGAGTCTCATGCCTCATGATCTGCTGTCACATCCAGGATGAGCACTGACAGTCAGCAGTGATCTGCCTCCCACTGAGCCCATCATATCCCCACATCCTACTTAATACAGGCTCTGGGTGTGGTCCCCTGGGTTTGACATGTGAGATGTAACCCATTTATTGTCCTTAGCTAACAGCAAGAGAAAACTAGGAAGAGATGCACTGGACTGAGGGCTGCGTGTCCTGACTCCAGAGCCCAAGTGTATTCCCCTGAAAAACCCAGGAAACAGCCCTTTGCCTGTGCCTTAGCTCTCAGCATAAGAGATCTCCTGATGTTTATGGAATCTAGAAGGCTCTCCATCTGAGATGTCCCCATCAGATGCAGAGCAGAACATTACTCTGGCCCCCAGGAAATTCATAAACACTAGATTAGTCTTTCCAGATGGGCTGCCTCTCCCTAAAGGTCTGGGTATTGTGATTTTAACCACTATCTTAAAGAGACACCTGCAAGATTGTCTTACAAGAGCCAGACCAGTGCCAGATATCACTGGGGCCTAGACTTCTAACTCTGCCATCTTATTCTATGCTGTATTAATCCACAGTGTGTGCCTGGAGGCCTGGACTGAGCAGGATCACAAGCATCTCATCAAGGATCACCTAGCAATGTCTGTCATGAGCATGGCTAGAGAAGTGATAGCAAACAGGCAAGGCTAGACCTCTCAGCCTCACACCATACACTAATGGCAAATGGACATGCAGGGTTCGAGACAGTGCAAAGATGGGGCCAGCCACACAGTTGCAAGAGAAACGCTGGGTCCTGGGGAAGGAAATCCCCCATTCCCCAAGACCCAGTCAAGAATCCATTTGCAACTACACATGACCATGATTAATGCAAAGTTGTTAAGGGACACTATTGGTGCAAAGATAAGTATCAATGCTATTGGATTCCTGGCAAAGGATAGGGCAGATACTGAAGGCCAGAAAAACAGACACACCCAAGGGACAGGAGATCTAAACACTAGATGACAGGGAAAAAGAACACGAGACCCATGCTACTGGGTCCAAAACTGTTGCCACTGCATATTATCTGTATGAATCCAGGGCCCACTTAACTCTTCTGTGCCTGTTTCTCAGGTTATATCAGTGCTTTCCTCCTAGGCTTCCATGAGAATTAAAGGGGTTGGCAGATATATAAGAGCTTTAAATTATAAGAGTCCCTGGAACATGGTAAGACCCACCATATGGCAGGCTATTTCCACCACTGTTAAACCACTGAACTTGGGGGAATTCAGTTCCCTAGCAAGAAAAGCAATTACTCCTCCAAGAGATGAACTTTGCAACTGGGCTTCTTCAGCAACTAGAATAGTAAGTTGTTGCCAGAATAGCAAAGCTCTTGCCTCCACCTTCCCAAACTCATTCTTTGGATAATGGGGCAAACACAATCCCTGGATAGCCCCTAAAGAGGGGCTGTGTGTGACTTGACCACCCAAAGCTGTGTCCTAATCCACCCCCCAAGGACCTATACCTGACCTACCTAGACATTGGCATATTCAGCTATCATTTCTCACTGTCTTTTGATGGCTACAGCCCCTTCCCTGCCACCCCTCATTGCCCCCAGAGAGACTGACCCTAGATGTTCACTTCTACTGTGCACACAAAAGTACCTGTCGGAGGGCTCCCTTCCAGGCACAGCTAATGCCCCTCTGATTGCAACGTGGTAATGCATGAAAGTCACTTCACTGCTTCCAAAGGCCTGAGCCTCAGTTTGTGAGAGCCACCAAGGTAACACCGTCATGCTACAATCCACCTGTTACTTCTCAATAACAACAAAAAAAAAAAACCACTGCATCCATTGCCTCTTTATGTAGGGTAGAAAAGAATCCGTTCTCAGATGGGGTGGCATCTGTGTAGTGTCTCGAGGGATCTGTTTATCCTTGCATTAGCTAGAGGATATCAGCCTCCTTGGCCAGGTGGAGCCCTTTGTCCACTTAGACCCTCTTCAAACTGTTAACTGAAGTAAATTATCAGCTTCTCACTCTGTTGTAAGGAGGGTCCCGCAAGGTTGCCTCAGTCCTCTCACAATGGTCATGCAGCCTGCCCTGAACTTGACAGATAACAAAATTGAAGTTCACAGGCAGTTGGGGGATGAGTTATTTACTAAGCCTCTGCCCCACCATCCCAGAACTCTGGCCACTTCCTTTTTCTGGGAAAGCACTTGGAAAACAATTGAGCATGTGCAGATGGACCTGGAGTTGACCAAGCACACCATGAGAATTTGTGCTAGCAAAGACTCAGATGGGGGTTCCTGGGATCTAGGACACACTCAACATGAAGGTATCCACAGTCAGATGTCAATCTGACTTCAGCAGACGCTGGCTACATGGCACTTGTCCTCCCTAGAATTTAGTTAGTAAAAATAAAACCCAGTGACTACCAGGCCTGGGACATGACCATCCAGGTTCTTCCCCCGTGTTATTCAGCTTCCCGTAGCTATGGCAAATGCATGGATAAACTACTTATAAAGAGGAAAGGGTTGTTTGGGCTCCTGGCTTTGTAGGTCTAGGTCTGTGATCAAGTAGGTCCGCGTGACACTATAGTAGGAACATGAGGAAAGCTGCTCACTTCACAGCAAGGTAGCAAGAAAGAAGGGAACAGGGTCTCTCTCTACCCCTTCAAAGGCTTGTGCCAAAGTGACCTCAAATCCCCATTACACTGCACCTCTTTTAAGTGTCCACCACCTCCCAATAGCACCAAGCAAAAAACCAAATCATTAACTCATGCATCTCGAGGGACAGTCTCCACTCACATTGTGGCATCCCTGCTCACTAGGATCTGACAGCAGCTTTGGCTGCTCACTCTGATTTTTAGTGGACCTTGGCGTGTTAGTCCCCATATTTCTAAGGGAGTCTAGCTCTGAGTGGAGAGAGTCAGGACAGCTGGGTTCACAGAGGATGAACGGTGGGAACTAAGTGAGCTGATGATGAGGTGCAGGTCAGAGATGAAAAAGCCTCTCAATTTCTTGTGCTGTGACCTTGGCATTTGTCATCTCTCTGACCTCCCATCGCTGAGACCTACTAAGCAGATTTCTGGCTGTGAAGGAAACATTAGTTATCTGTAAACACATTAATATTCAGACAATTACCAGTCACATGAAGGGTACTATTGACTTGAGACCCTGTCGATTCTACTCTTAGAGGTGCTGACACATATTTTAAAATTAATAAACCATGAAATACCATATTCCCATAATGATCTAATTATACTTTTCTAAGAAAAGCAATTTTAAACCAGATTGATTTTTCTTTTAATCAGGAGTATTGCCCATGAGGTAAATGAAATAAAAATGTTCCATTTGGAAGGGAATAAAATCCACACTTACAAAGCTGGTGAATCTAAAATGAGCTTTGTTTTCCCCCAAAAAAATGAGAATCCATGGCAATGCCTCAGGTGAGTAAAAACTCACTCAAGTGCCTCTCAGGTGTTACCAATAGTCTCAGCACCTCTTCTTGGAGAACCTGTGAGTTTCAAATTCCCAAAGCATGAGGAACTTGCCTCAGTTACCCTGCTAGGTACTTGGGGTCCTAGCTGATTTAACTCATATTTTTGTTCCTTGCAGTGTTTCATTGAAAATCAGTTGTTGCTGTGACAGAAAAATGGCAGAAACAACTTAAGAAGAAGGATTTTTTTGTGACTCACATTTTGAAAGGCTATAGCCACCAAGTTGGGGAAGGCATGGTGGCAATAGCGGCTCCTGGCTGTAGCAGAGGGAGGGCATGGCCAATAATTATTCACAATAGAGCAGGAAGCAGAAAGAGAAGGCTGGAACTAGAAGTAAGCTATAAATCCCAAGGCATTGCCCCCTAAGTGACCCACCTCCCAAGGGTTTCACAACTCCCCCAAAAGAATGCCACCAGAAGGGAACCCAGTTTTTGGACACATGAGCCATGGGAGATATTCCACATTCAAACTATGACAGTAGTAGAAGGTCTTGAAGCAACTTTCTGCTTCATGCAGATTCTGGGATGCCACAACTGCCCTGTGAATCTACATTTTAGCAAGTCTTCCAAAAGCTTTTCGCACACTGTATCAGTTAACAAACACAGCAGCTAAGTATAGGTGCATTTCAAAAGGAGGAAAGTCACTGATAGGAAAGCAAGAGGAAAGGACACTGAGAAGTGAGCAGCACGTTATAGGTGGTATAGGCCTGTCACCAAATCCCAGAGCCTGCTGGACTTGCATGTTGCTCACTTTTGAGACTGAGAAACATGTGCAGAGAGAGAGAGAGAGAGAGAGAGAGAGAGAGAGAGAGAGAGAGAGAGACGGAGGTGACTGAAGTTACGCAGCTAGCCTGCCTAGGACCAGAATTTCAATCTAAGATGGGCTAAATCAACAACTTTCACTCTTGCTGCTAAACTCTAAGGAACATCTACCCTTGGGGAGTGGATGGTTTCATTAGAAGGTAAACACCCACATGCATGCACAGGCATGTGCACACTCACACCACACACACACACACACACACAGAGAGAGAGAGAGAGAGAGAGAGAGAGAGAGAGAGAGAGAGAGAGAGAGAGAGAGAGATGGCCAAAGCTTCTAAGTACAGAAGAGATGAGCAGGATTTTTCCTTCATGAGCATCTCTATCAGAAGAAGTAGCTATAAAGCACATCCACTGTAGGACCAGAGAGAAGACAGTCCCTTGTAGGACCAGGTCAAGTGAGCTCAGCATCTCTGCTTTCCTGTTCCCATGATTCTGTAACAGTTTTATCATCTGGTTACTGCCCAGCAAATAACAAGAGCGAAGAGGTTGAAAGTAGTGACTTTGCTTTGGTGGTACAAGCAAACTTACTTTCCTTATTTTCCCTGTTGTTGAAACAAAATACCAACCAAACACGGCTTACTGGAGTAAAGGGTTTCGTATGTCTCATGGTTTGGGGGTACAGCCCATCATAGTGAGAAAGTGATAGCAGCAGGAACTCTAGGTGGCTGGTCACATAACATCTGCAGTCAAGAAGCAGAGAGGAAGGGGAATGCCGGCACACGCTCAGAGAGCTTTTTATACTCTCGGAGACCCACAGCCCATGGGATAGTGCTGCTCACATTCAGGGTGGATCTTCTTTGCTCAGTTAAACCTTCCTAGAAACATTCTCATAGACACACCCGAAATTGTGTTTCCCTGGTGACTCGAAAGCCAGTCAAGCTGACAACGCATATTAACCATCTCACTTGTCATCAGATTCATTACACGTCAGACAACAAAGCGAATTGATCTTCATTTCCATTCGGATGGAAACTGAAATGAGTAGGCAGATACCCTTTCTCTTCCTAATGTCATCCCAAAGTGAAACTCACAGTAGTGCATGGGAAATGAACAGCACACTAATGCAGCCATCAGCCAACACTGCCATGATTAGTCAGTGAGCAAACGGAGAGCCAGCTGACAGGTGTAAGTCAGCAATTCTTTCTCACCTGTCAAAACCTGTAGCCCAGTCGTAGGTCACCTGCCTAGCATGTGTGCTGGCTTAGGTAAACCTCCAGGGAGAATTCTTAAATGCTTTGTCAATCAGAGGATGGCATCATATAGAGCAGGGATCCCCTGGGGCTGCAGCTTGATGAATTCAGACACAGGTTCACATCCTTGCCTCTAACCAAGGAAAAGATACAGAAGCAGCTCAGTACCTTACAAGCTACAGGGCGTATATTTTCCCTTTGCACTCTCTCTCTCTCTCTCTCTCTCTCTCCCTCTCTCTCTCTCTCTCCCCTGTGTATCCTTATTTGAGATACAGGACAGGTATTGCTTTGTGACTTGTAAAAGAAAGGCTAAAGTAAAAACATAAACACGACAAGGCTGAGGTGACACTTCTGTAACTAAAGGGTGGGCCTTGCAAGCATATAATCTGAGTTCAAGCCTCCAGAGGCCATTTAAAAAAAAAAGCAGGCATGGTGGCACATGGAACCCCAGTTCTGAAAAGGCAAGGGGCTCCCTGGGACATGATGGCTAGCCCATCTAGCTTATGAGGGGAGTCCAAGGTCAATGAGAGACCTTGCCTCAAACAAAATGTAGATGGGCTCCTCATTTATTTTCCATTGCTGTTATAAAACACTAACCAAGAGCAACTCAGGGGAAAAACATGTTTATTTAACTTACACTTCCAGGTCATAGTTCATAATTAAGGGAAGTTAAGGTTTCAAAGCAGAACCTGCGGAGGAACATTGATTGCTATCTTGCCCAGGCACCTGAGTGCCCAAGGAATGGTACTTCCCTCACTGGGCTGGGCTCTCCTACATCAATTAACAGTCAAGACAATCCCTCAACACCCACAAACCATTCGATAAAGACGCTTGCTCAACTGACTCTTTTTGGGGTGATTCTAGGCTGCATCAAGTTAGCAGCTAATACCAACTAGGACAGTCGCACTTGTAGAACAATAACAGCAGCCAAGGTTGGCCTCTGATCTCTGCACCCATGTACACACATGTGAACACATATACATACACACAACACACACACACACACACAAAGGAAGGGAGGGAGATGGACAGGGACTGTGTACTTATATTTCTAACACTGGTAACAGTAGAAGATCGGCATTTTTGTTTTAAATAGATTGTGTCTTAGCTTCTACGACCATGAACTACAGCCATATGACACTGTCTCTTCCACTGCATCCCCCTAGGGCCTACAGTACATGGAACTCATCCCCAAGGAGAAGCAGCCTGTGACAGGTACTGAGGGCGCCCTCTACCGCCGACGCCAGCTCATGCATCAGCTCCCTATCTATGACCAAGACCCCTCTCGCTGCCGTGGACTTGTGGAAAGTGAGCTGAAAGCAATGGAAGAATTTGTCAAGCAGTACAAGAGCGAGGCCCTTGGGGTGGGCGAAGTGGCCCTCCCAGGCCAGGGAGGCTTGCCCAAGGAGGAAGGCAAGACACAAGAAAAGCTGGAGGGCCCAGAGACCACTGCCCCAACCACCAATGGCAGCCTGGGTGACCCATCCAAGGAAGTGGAATATGTGAGTGTCCCTTGTCTCTGGTCTTGCTGAAGATGCCCAGGCTAGGGCTATACTGTCAGATTTCCATTTGGCCATCCTTTCCTCTCAGTCATGTGTTTATACATGTTCAGTGAAGGAGGCAGGTACTTGTTACTCTGTATCAGACACCACTCCTGAGAAATACCACCAGGTTACTGCCATGGGAAGGATAATAGTCTAGGACAGTGGTTCTTCACCTGTGGCTCACAATCCGCTTGGCAAACCTCTAACTCCACAAATATTTACATTATGATTCATAACAGTAGTAAAATTATAGTTATGAAGTAACAAATGAAATCATTTTCTGGTTGGGCGTCACTACACCATGAGGAACTGTATTAAAGGGTCACAGCATTAGGAAGGGTAAGAACCACTGCTTTAGGATAATGCCACCATTGAACAAATGGTCACAGATTAGGGAGAAGGCATCTAGCCTCCCTTGGGGAAGGGGAAGGATCTGAGAATGTGATAAGGTTCAACCTGACATGTTTGAAATAACTCAGGAACACCCAAACCATAGACTGTGATGTGAGCAGGAGCACTAGGATCCAGGAGGGGTGAATTTCACACTCTCCATGAGTTCATTATGGCATCATCTGTTGGGTCCCAGGAAGTCAGTCAAGGAAAGGTCACTGCTCCCATATTGGTGAGAACTTTGGGCTGCAGACTTGATCTAAGGGAGCAAGCTGTGGGTCAGATGTAAGACATAACTCCAGATGTGTGATTGCCAATTTTCCCTAGCAACGGTATGGAAGATGCCCATACCTGGGGGTGGGAGAGGCATGTTGAGAAAACACAAAAGAGAAGCCAGTGTTTCAGAGGTGAAATTCCCATGGATGGGATTGGAACCATGGGGCTGATGGCCTCTATGTTTCTACTCAGAGGGTCATATCCCTCCCCTTCAGTCAGGTGGCCTTTTTTGCTCCTACTTAACATTTGACTATAAAAGTTCCAGGGATCTTTGCTAGGTCATCATCACTGTGGCCAGATTATCTGACATAAGCAACTGAAGAAAGGAAGGTTCTATTTTGCCTTGTGGTTTCTGAGGGTTTAGTCGGTGGTCTTTTAGCACTATTTGCTTGAGCAGAACAGCAGGGGGATGCATGGGAAGCAGCCAGTAGACAGAAAGTGAAGATAGGAAATAGAGAAAGTGGCCAAGACAAGGTATAGCCTCTAGGGACAGGTTTTCAGTGACCTACTTCCCAGATATAGATAGGCCTTTTGTCACCTCCCAACAATGTCATATTTATTAGTTCAAGGCCTTCATGATGTGATGGTCTTCAGAAATGCCCTTGCAAACACCTCCAGAGGACTACTTTATTAATCTCCTGGACAGTTCTCAATCCAACCAAATGAACACCCAAGATTAGCCATCATGGCCCTGAAGTATATCTTGCAGGGAAGAGGCTGGCAGTCTCTAGTAAGTCAGGCAGCCCACAGAAAGATGGCCCAAGAACCTGGCTACCCTGTTGTTCCTGGCTCTGGGTGCCTTAAGTACCTCCCAATTCCACCCCAACCTTGGCCTCATCTGTTTTTAGCTGAGAATTCCAAGATTTGAGTTTTTTCCTTATTATTTAACAGTGAGACTTGTTTTTCATTGTGTGTATATGTACATGTCTCTCTGTGTGTATGTACATGTGTGGATGCAGGTGCCTATGGAGTTCAGAAGAGTAGGTTGGATTCCCTGGAGCTAGAATTACAGATGGTTGTGAGCTGACAGATGTGGGTGCTGCGAACCAAACTTGGGCACTGAGTCATCTCTCCAAGCCTTGTCAGTAATACTAAAAGACTCACTTGTTGGAATGGATATATGCATGAAAGATGTTTTAAAGAAACTAAATCTAGTTACCATAGTAATTACTAGTGTTATAAACTGCTCTCCCCCACACCACTCCAATCCTGCCCACTATCCACCCTTGAATAGTTGTTTGTATTTAAAGAGTAAGTTTTAAAGAACTCCAACTTGGAAAAGAATCTCTTGATGTCATTGTGACTTCTCTGAATTGCCATTCCCAAGGGAGAGATGCTGTCTGAGAGCATATCTTGTCCTTGACTAAACCCCACATATTTGTTCAACAAGGAATGAGAGCAAAGATGCACTGAGATTCTGGGGCCTTGCCTGTACTTAACTCTGGGGAATATTTGTGATGTTTTGGAAGCATTTAAGTAACAACACTGGCCATTAAGTGACATATCCCACAGTCAGAAATGAGCAGAGGATAAGAAGGAAACTATTAGGATGAATTTTTCTGATGCCTGTGAAAGTTGCAGTTAGCTGTCCTATCCCAACCACAATTTTAACTTGTAACTCACTGTCATTAGTGGGCTCACATCTGACACTATCTGTAGATTCTGAGAGCTTGTTCATCTCTGCATCTACAATGGGTATACAGTGGGATCATCCACAAACATGATCCGCAAGAAAATCAGTGTTCAAACTACAGTGGGCTCGGGAAGATGGGAACAATTTGGATAGCATTTTGTCTAAGATACTGGCAGTCCCTTTTCACACTGCTTAAGCACAAAGCTTCACTCAGACTTTCAGGATCTCTTTAAATCCTCACAGTTGCCTGGTAGAGTGATTTCGGGAGTCAGGTGAGGTGTAGACTCCCAGGTGCACGAACAATAGGTAGATTGTCCAAGGCCCCATTTTCATAATAGTGTGCTGAGTTAAAGCATCCTGCTTGCTATTTGTTCCAGAATAAAACAGCTGGGTTCTCTATCCATCCCCTCAAAGCAGGAGAAAGAGTCACAGTGACTCAGGAACAAAGCAGTCCATAAAGCTGTATCCCCAGCAGCCTCAATGCCAAGTGTGGGCCTGAACCACTCTCTGAAGCCAGTGTGGGGGGGGTGGGGGTGGATGGATGGATGGACGGACGGACGGATGGATGGATGGATGGATGGATGGATGGATGGATGGATGGATGGGTGGATGACCTTAAAGGAGCCCTGCTTTTAAAAAAAAAAAACTACCAAGTATTCTTGGGGTTCTTTGCATTATGTTCTAGAAACACAAGCAGACAATTTAACACTGTTTTTGATCCTCCTACCACCCACTCCTGCCCTTGACACTGAATCATCGTCCTATGCTACCCAAGATCTCCCATCATGCAGTGTTGCATGCTGCTACACACCCATCATTGCCCCCAAAGGCTTATTAAGCTAGGTCATGTCCTTCCTCTAAAATCTCATTATAGAATCAATGGCCATTAGGCTGCTTAGTACTCCCCACCCCCACATGCCACTGTCACAGAGGAATGTCATGCCAGAGCCCTTTCTAAACTGCCTCCAGGGAACTCTCACCAAGAGGCTATGATTCGTGGGAATTCCAATACTGGAAACCAGCTAGGATGCAGGACACAGCTCTACCTGAATCCCACCTATCTGGTGGCAACAGCTGTCCTCTAATGAGAATGAGTTCAGTTCACAGATTCAGACCCCAGGCCTAGCTTTCAAAGCCCAGTATGTCAAATAGACCCCTGGCAGGACATGTTGACCTAAATCAGAAGAAGCATGTCTGTCTGCTTGGGCAATGAACTAAGCGGTGTGGCTGTCTACATCGACCTCAGAGCAAATCAAAAATCACCATCATCACATTGACAGTAGAGACAAAAGAACAGCAGAAACAGCCATAGCAGTAGGGGTCTGCACAAGAAAACCCCAAGGTAGAAACACCCCTGTCCAAGATACCCACCCATCTGCTGTCACCCGTAGGGAAAGGGACTGGCTTTCCAAATCTACAAGGCAAATAAAATGTCTTTAAATCTTTGTGATGATCATGAGACAACTTGAGGTTATAAGACAAATTTCCCACATGAGAAGCCTAGGACACAGTCCATGGTAGTTTGCTAAGGAGTGGTAAGCTGATTAGAATCTAGGTCTTATCATCACTAGCAGTGTAGTATGAGCAGTCCTGAGAGGAACCCCTAGAAGGAAAACATATTTGAGTGCTAAGGTCTGGAGTGAGCCCAGGACCTGATATCCCTCAAAGTCCAGTCTGCTGGAGAATAAGACCCTTTTCTCTGTGCTGGGAATACCAGTAGGACATCCTACCACAGCCTAAGTCTCTCCTGCCGGGTCTCAAGAACATCCCAGGGTTCTGGCTGGGGGTGGGAGAGAGCTGTGAACGCTAGCAACCTGCTGGTCCCCACCAGTCTACTCAAAGCCCCTCACCCAATCTCTAAACCTCCAACCTCCATTTATCCCTCCTGGAGAGAATTTATGGATGCCTATGTTATGTGGAACACAGCATACACGCTCTAACTGCTCACATTTCCACAGGCAGTTTCACTGCCTTTGGAGAGCTCAGTGGATGTTCCCTCGGAAACTGAATATACAGGGTTCCCAGGCATGCTCACTGTGCCCAGGCATTTCCGCCTTTCCACCACTCCACACTTGAAACTCAATAAAGGGAACAGAATGCCAGAACAGAGCATAAAATGTACTCTCGGTTCTGGGTCTGATCGTTCTTACCACTCGCCCCCATCACTCCCACCATCACCTTGTCCCTTCCTCGGGCCAGGTTATCATCCCCAAGCATTAAGCAACAGAGAGTGGATGAAGAGGAGTGGAGGCTCCCCACAGTCCTGAGAATGTATTCCTAAGATCCCAAGATACCCAGTGGGATGCCAGAAACAAGCCAACTCTTTTTTCCCCCACCTCCCCACAAAAATGCAAAGGGAGGTACAGGCGGCCTTGGACCCCACCCTCCGCCATAAGACAGCCTCTCAGATGGAAACTTACAGCAGCTGGCAGCTCAGGCCCATCCCAAAAGGGACATATTTGTGGGCAAAGGGACTTCCAAGTTTTTGTCAGAGCAGATGTTTGGCTTGTGGGCTGTGCAGGCTGGCTGCCTTTCCTGCCAGCCCTACTTGGGGACTTGCAGCTACCCCTGCCCCCTGTGGGCCACTTCTTTCTGAGCTGGAGTAAAGATGTGGAGACCAATGTGAGACCACTAAACCACAGCTAACCCTGGTCCCTTC